GGATTCCTACAAATTACTTTAGGAGATAACAATACATTTGTAATTTTTGGAATAGGAAGTACTCTAGCAAACTGTGTCAAGCATCAAAATTTAGGACGATTAAACACCCTAATGTTTCCTGAACAGCAAGTTATAGAAGACTACTCTGAAGAAAACCTCCCTCCCTCCATTTTTAAAATTTATCTTACAGAGGCTCCTATATGATTAGATGCCAGTCTAACTATTAGACTATTTCTTAAGTAAATGTAACTTAGGTAATTCAGAACAGTGATCAAAGGTCAGTCTGAGATTCACAAACCGTATAAAAACTGTAGCAGTAAGAGAGAAAAGTGAAATTATTTAGACTATTTCCATTGTAATGCAAGAGAAAATAAAATGTGACCTGACTGCCAACAAAGACTGCTGGAAGAGTTCAAAGTGCCTGGGGCCATCCCACATGTAAAGTCAAAAGATTCAGAAAGGGACTTACCTGCAGCCTTCTTCTTGTCCATGCCCTTCCCTACACAGTTCAGTGCTGCTGTGACAACTGTGGGCTCTGAGAAACCCAACACCCTCTTCACTGTCTTCTCTATCCATGGCTTCAATTCATCTAGCTCCCTCTTAGACAGCGCCATTCTCCAGGAAATGGAGGACTGCACAAAAGGGAGTTAATACTGCACCTAAAAAGAAACAGGAGGGTTAAATGAGGAAATATGGAAAAACTAGAGACACTCCAGGCAATGGTGCACATCAGGAGAGCCTTCCCAGCCCATTCTCAATCTTCCAGGTCAAATACTCTCCCTAAAAACCAAACTCCAATGCAGAATGAATGACAACCTATTCAATTTTTAACCTTAATTCAGTATCAATAGATCAATGAAATTTATAGAATAAGCAAACAAATCCTGAGAATCATGTAGTCTGAGAAATAAATTCTACTTTTTCTCCTCAGTCTTATCATATTGACAAGGCCTGGCAAACACAGTACATGAAAACAAGACTGAGAAAAGAGGCCAACTTTTCTAACCCACCGACTTGCAAGCAGGCATTCCATTCCACAAGCCACCTCTGACCTACAGGGTTTTCCTTCTGTTAAAGGACGCAAATAAAGGAGGGTTTACCCAGGCCAATCATCCTTTTAAATCTCATAATCCTTAAGAATGTTCTGTTACATTTCTCTGTAGTTACATTCACTCCAGTGGGGATCTGTACCCAGATAATTTTCTCTCATGTTCTACAGTCTCTCCCACTTGCTTGGTAAGAGTAATCCCTCCGCTCTGAAAAAATACCTTCACTTTGGATATGCGCATGCTCCCTTCCTTTTTGCTTCTGATCCTCACTTCATAGCTTAGCAGAGAAAACACTATCATAAAGGATGTGCTGCAATCAACCTCATTATTTAGTGCACACTGAGGCGCTCAGCATTATTCGTGTCTGCACTTTGATCTCCTACCTAAATCTCAAAACTCCCCAAGAGACTAGAGAAACTTTAGTTCCCCAATGTTCTCCATAGTGCTTAGGTCGATAATCCTCACTAACCTCAATCTCCAAGGTAACCTCCTCCTTGCAATACCACACATACAGTCAATCATTCAAGATGTTTCTAGCCATCTTTTCTCCGAGAAGACATTATCTGATCAAGACCTACATTCTTGGTGTGTTTACCTTCTGTAAGATTTGCTGCCAACCAGTGTATTCAACCTTGACATAAATACACAAAGTGAGTAGATTAACCGTGAAACTAGGGGTGACAGATTCTGGGCCTCAGGGATCCCCTCTGTGAATGATGCTATGGTTACGAGTGGTAGTGATCCATCTAATGGCCTCTATTAAAATGTGCACTGCTCAAAAGCAGCATATTCAGCCACTGCAGAGTAAATAAAAGCTCATGGTCAGCAGTCCGGACGCGAAATCCTACCACTTACCAGTGTTTGGGCAGGTAACTCCCCGAGTCTCAGTTCACCGATTTGCCACATCTTACCTTCAAAAAGGAGGCCGACCACCTACCTACATCATACTTTGTCACCCACCCAATGCGTGTGGCACTGCTATTGGGAGCAGCACCCTAGCGTTGAGGTTATTTACATCAGGAAGGCCAAGGCCCCTCACCTGGCCTCCGGCGGCTTCAAGTCCCCGGGAACGACTCACAGCTCCAAAGCACGCGCCTGGAGGAGTCGCCAGCGACTCCCAGGTATCAGGGCCATCTGTTTTAGCAGGTGCCCGAGCACCCCACCGACTACCACGTTCAAGTTCACGGCTCGGTGACGTGCAACCCCAACAGCCAGTGAGCAAAAATAAAAGTTTCACACCGAAACTTTTGTCACGGACCTCCGCGGAGTAAACGACGGCGCGGCCGGAGGGCTGGGCGAAGAGGCGGCGGGCGGAGAGCGCGCGCAACGAGGGCGGCAGCACGCACGCTCCCAGGCACGTCCCCGCCGCGCGCTCTTCTCCGCTGCTGCCTCAGTTTCCCCGCGGCGGGCCCCGCGCTCTCCGCGCCCTGCCCGTCGCGTTCTACCCCAGCTCTTCGGCTCCGGGCCGAGCCGCCCCCGAGTCCCCTCCCGCCCCCGCCCTTTCCCCTCAGCACTCTCATTCCAAGCCGCTCCACAGAACCGCGCGCCCCCTCGCCTCCTCGCCGCTGAACCCTGCCGCCCCCGGCCCCCCCGTGGGCCGAGCCCCAAGCCCAGTCGCTCGGACCCGCGGGCACCCTGCCTGGGCCCGGGGCCACTACTCACCTCACAAACTTCAGCCCCTGAGACGGAGCCCGAACGTTACACCGGAACCGGAAACCCGA